AAGACCTTATGATGATGATTTTTCACTTCTTTCAAATACCTTCAATTTATGCGTTAGAGGAAGGTTTATTTCTTTGTATAGATAATTACAAAACTAATGGGCCTCTTTACAACAAAAAACGTCATTCCGTATAGGTCAATGTTTAGTACCTGCAAATCTCATTTTCCGAAAACAATCAAGCACAATCCCGTCGTCCCTTTCCGGAACAGTCGGCACTCCGCACCGTAAGAAATGAAAGATTAATTTTTAATACGACCCTCGTATATTTACTTTTGTCCTGTCGCTTCGAGCTCTGTTCTTCGTCGAAACAGAAGGGCGAGAAGAGAGTAGATTGATGCTTTTCCAAGCTGAACCTGATAGTTGGCGTATAATCCAAACCATAATGTTGTAGAATGTATTCATTGCTTCACATTAACTCTCTCAGCTATTTGTAACGCCCAAGACCCCGTGCGCGTCGCGACGCCAGCGGCGGACGCGCCTCATTGCCGAACATGACCCTGCTGCTGCCTGCTTGCCTTTTGCCACAGTCTCCCGCTCTCCCGTCCTTCCAACAATCCACAAAAGATCTGACAGGTCTCGCGACAGATGTAAAATTGCTTTGTTACCCTTTCATTTGCTAATACATTATTCCTTATGTTTAATTTCAGATCTTCTCAACAAAGCGATTTGTTTAAATTAATGCCTTACAAGCAAACGATTTAACGAGAAAGAGCAAATTTTAAACATAATTTTATATTAAAGAATACATCGCAATCGAATAAATAATTGATTTTAATTGAGTTTTCTCCTTAAACAACAAAGGGAAGAGTTCAAGTTTAATCAACGATTTATTTATTTTTAAAAATGTATTATTTATGCCAAAACAGAAAGAACAGAAAAAATTGTTTTCGATAAATAATTATTATTTATTATTAAGTAACTTAGTGCGTTAAATTTGAACTTTCCGATTGCTGCAACAATTTGAGATATACACCTGCATTAGTTGAGATAAAAGCAGCTGTAGCTCTATGGTTAATGAGTTTATTTTTATCTGGAAGATCTGGAACGGATTGCGCTTTAAATCGGCCCAGCGGGACTCATGCGGTGCTGTAGTTTTAAAAGTTTAAAGGCGACCCTGTTGTTTTGAANAACTCACCAGCCGCTCGTTCGTTAGCTAGAAATGTCCGAATCCAGTCGGTGCGGGCACGCTCCGAAGTACAGTCGCGGCGGAAGGAATCAGTCCTATTACTTTCCGGACAAACCCTGTAGAATCTCCTAATTTTATGTGATTCTTTACTAGATTAATATTAACACAATTATTTTATTTATTTTCATACAATACTGTTTTGCCATGACATAATAATAAACCAATATAAATATTGTATATTAATTGTACGTTTTATTGTTAATCTTTAAGTTTATTATTGCGCCTGTATTTGGTGATAAATTTTGTCATTTAGCTGAACAAAATTTCTGACCGAATCTTTATCGAAATTATATTTATCGTCGGCTCAGTTCAGTTAGCGAACGTTTTAAATCCGGGACATTTAGCGTCTATTTCGCTCTAAATAACTCGATAACGCGAGCGTCTTCTTTTTTTGGATTTCGCTTTATAACTCACGGCCGACAATAATCGGTCGCGTCGGGATTTTAATAACAAACAAGAACCACATCGTATCGCATCGGTGTGCCGTGTGTTTGAGGAGCACGGCTGCTTGAAGGACATAAATTGTGACAAGAAATGCGCTTCAGCAGCAGGGCACAGTGTCTTCCAATATAACTTCAAAAATATCAAGATCATTTTAGATAAAAATTTCCCTGTTATTTTTCTCAGCTTTGTTTCCAACCCCATTTGTGTACAACAAGACCGGCAAACAAAACACAATAGTCTTGAGTGGCCTTGTTCGGATCCTTGCTTTTGGCAAAACTATAACATGAAGTTATCCCTTGAGTGTAAGTATACCAATTTAGGATATTCTTTTGGTCATTTTACAAATCGGAACAATACTGTTAAGATTAGTTTTCCATTAAAAATGGTTAAAGCAAGTGTTATATTAATTCAGGTTTTCGTAATATTTCTAAAGGAAAAATGGAAATGTTTAAATTTATTCTTATAATTACCCTCCACTTTTACCTCTCATTCTTATTGACTTCCATAGAGTCCTCTGTTCACATATTCTTTCTAATAACTCTTCATTTCTAACCTTAACACATTTTGAACGCTTCTAAACTTTTCTTTTCCGCCG